GTTGCTACGAGATACTTTTCCTCTCTCTTTTGCTCTTCCGAAGCGGCTCCTGATGAGGAGATTCTCCAAGCCATTGATCGATGCATCTCTCCGAGTGATAATGAGTTGCTTTGCCGAGAGTTCTCTGCCGAGGAGGTCACCAATGCCTTTTCTCAAATTAATCCTTCGAAAGCTCCTGGTTTCGATGGACTTTCAGGTCATTTCTTTCGTTCTTTTTGGAATATTGTTGGTTGTGACTTTGTTAATCTTTGTCTCAGTCTTTTGAATGGTACGATGGATTTTAATTTTGTTAATCGTACCATTATTGTCCTTATTCCAAAGGTTAATAGCCCTACTTTAATGAAGCAATTTAGACCGATTAGCTTATGCTCGGTCATCTATAAAGTCGTGTCAAAAGTTATTGTTAATCGCCTTAAACCGTTGATGCATGCTTGTATTGCTGAAAATCAATGCGCTTTTGTCCCCGGTAGATGTATTTCTGACAATTTTTTAGTAGCTCATGAAATTTTTCATTATCTTAAAGGATCTAAAAATGGTCCTAATAAGGGAGCTGCAATTAAACTTGATATGGAGAAAGTGTATGATAGAGTGGAATGGGGATTTTTGTTGGATGTTATGATGAGTATGGGTTTTAGTTATTCTTTTGTAAACCTTATTCGGAAGTGTATTTCGTCGATCTCTTTTCAAGTTCGTATTAATGGAGTGCTTTCTGACCATTTCATTCCTAAGAGGGGTCTCCGATAAGGAGATCCTTTATCTCCATATTTGTTCTTGTTTTGCGCTCAGGGACTCTCTGCCTTATTAATTAAGGCTCAAAGGAGGAATGAGATTAAAGGAATTAGAGCGAGCATGAGAGGGCCACGGATATCTCACTTGCTGTATGCCGACGATATCCTCTTGTTTGTGAAGAATTCGATGGTGGAGGTGTGCAAAGTTAAGAGCATTCTGAACCAATATGAGAAGGCCTCAGGACAAAAAGTGAATTTTGAGAAATCAAGCATTTATTTTAGTCCTAATACTCCTGCTTCGGATAGATTGAACTTCTTGAGTGAGTTAGGCGTTGTTGAGACCTCAGACCCGGGGAATTATCTTGGCTTGCCGCTCACAGTTGGAAAAGGCAAACGTGCAACTTTCAATTTTATCATAGATAAGACCGAGAAGAGGATTCAAGGATGGACCAAGCGACTCTTATCTTTTGGAGGATGAGAAGTTTTCATTAAATCGGTGGTTCAAGCTCTTCCAGCCTATGCAATGTCTTGTTATCTTCTCTCGGAGGGTGTTATCGAGGATATAAAGTCCCAAGCGCGATCTTATTGGTGGTCTGGGAAACAAAATGTTAGAGGATGGGCAATGGTGGCTTGGGATAAGGTTTGCTGTTCCAAGAAATTTGGAGGGATGGGATTTAGAGATCTTAAATTGTTTAATTTTGCGCTCCTTGGAAATCAGATATAGAGACTTATCCAAGATGATAATTCTTTGGCGTTTAAGGTCCTTAAAGTTAAATACTTCCCTAACACTTCGTTTTTTGAGGCGAAACTTGGTGAAAGACATTCCTATGCGTGGGTGAGCCTTGTGAAGGCCAAAGAGGCACTTAGGGATGGCTTTTTCTGGAGAGTGGGCATTGATAGTAATGTTTCTATGTTCAAAGATAAGTGGGGGGACTCTAAGCCTATTTCTTGGTCGGACAGGTACTTGGATAATTCTGAACACCCGGTTGGAGTGGGGGAATTCATGATTCCAGGGTGTGCAAGGTGGGATGAGCGTAAGATTAACAGAGTGCTTCTTGCGGAAGATGCTTCCAGGGTTCTTAGTACGCTGATTGCTCCAGTTCAAGCTAATCAAATGTTGTGGAGTCATCACAGTTCGGGAAGGTACTCTGCAAAGTCGGGATACAACTGGTTAAAAATTCAAAATTCCCCTATGTTTTTTGATGAAGGGATTTGGAATGCAGTGGCTAGGGCGAAAGTTCTCCCAAAGATAAAAATTTTCGGATGGAGATTGTGTCATGATGCTATTCCGTCAGGGTCAAAAATTAAACAAGCAAATCTGGGATAGGGTATTTGTCCACTTTGAAATAGTGAGTTGGAATCGGCGTTGCATACTCTAAAAGATTGCCCCAAATCGAAGACGGTTCTCGTTTTGTCGGGGCTTCCTCACGAGGTGGTTAATTGGAATGGAGATTCTTGTCTCCGATGGATGTCCTTTGTGCGATACGTATTACATTCTGAAGGCTTTGACTTGTTTCTTGCGTTGCTATGGAATATTTGGAACAGACGTAACAAATTGGTTCATGATGGGGATTTCCAATCGGATAGAGAAATTATTATTAATTCTTCTAACCTTATTGGGGATTATAAGGTTGTTGTTAATCCCATTGGTTGTTCAGGTGATATTCTTCATACCCGTAGATCGTGCATTTGGAGTAAGCCGACTCAGGATGGAGTTAAAATTAATGTGGATGGGGTCTTTTGCAAAACTTATAGAACAACGACTATTGGAGTTGTGGCGAGGGATTCTAATGGAATGGTCTTAGGAGGAATGGCCAAGAAGATTGATCCTCCATTTATGGCGGAATCCACTGAAGCTGTTGCGTTTACTGAGGGTATCCGATTCGCTTCTGAGAACGGTTGGAACAATGCTATTATTGAAGGAGATGCCATCTCGATTGTATACAGGTTGACTAACCACACTACGGAGAAGACCCGGGATCTCTCTACAATTGGATTGTTGCTCAATGAGGCTAGACTGATGTTAGCTGACCTCCCTTCATTTAAGGTGTTTTATGTAAGTAGAGAAGCTAATAGAGTTGCTCATTCCTTAGCTCAATGGGCCTTATCGAACCACAATCCAATTGAGTTTTTCTTGGATGAACCAGATTGTATTAAACTTTTTGTAATTGATGATGCTATTGGAATATAAGCATTTATACCTTCAAAAAAAAAATATGTAAAACAAAAGTTCGCGTGATTGCAAATTAGGGCTAATTAGAAAATTTAATGATATTAATCAAGCATGGATCCTTTTTTTTCTTCTCTATTTATTCTCAATTTTTAAATTTGTTTGTCTTTTTTTCCTCTCAGCATGACGTTAGTTAATGACAAAAACGGCAAAAATACTGTAACAGTGTAAGATTATTATTAATCTCTATATGCATTATTTTAGTCTAATGAGGACTCATAATCCGATTGATTCAATACTTCATAATTCTACTCCTCGATTCCAAGTTTTGACCCAACCTAATAACAATTTAGTGCCAAATAATTAGTAGTTTAGATGGGAAAGATTTGACCAATAAATTTTTTAAACATAAGAATGACAGGTGGTGGATTTCATTGTTTCACCGACTTTTTTAAGCATGTAAACATGAAAGAGAAGAGGGGAAATCATAGATCAATTGTAAAATATGAGTATTCAAAGGATTAAAATATGTTTTCTATTTTATTCAGTCCGATAAATTATTACTTTCTATTTAATTTAAAGTCTTAAAGAATATTAAAATTTTATAAGTAAAAAATAATTAAAACAAGATTAATATAAAATAAAGATCAAATATAAAATACGATATTTAACATCGTTTAATCTTATTTTTTTTATAAATAATAAAAATAATATTTTACTATAAATATAGATATTACAAAAAAGCAAAAAAAAATTAAAATTTATTTATGTTATACATCTATTATAAAAATATCTTTACAATTGAGATCTCATAATTTACAAAGATCATAAAAAATATTTCTTAAAATAAATTTCACATTATAAAAATTAAGATTTACTTTAATTTATAGAGAACATAAATTTAATTATGAAAACTTTTTTATTCAATAAAATTTTTTATTGAAATTAATTTAACTATTAAATTTATACTAAAAATTAATATAATTAAAATAAAAATATAAGAAATAAATTAAGGGTTTTAGAAATGGAATAAAACACGTTTAGATTAAAAATAATACTAATAATATTCAATCCGATGGTCGATGGCAAGCATTATTGGCAGCCAGACTGGACCTTCTTGGACTCTCTCTCTCTCTCTCTCTCTCTCTCTCTCTCTATGTGGCTGTTGATAGATCAAGTGCGACAGAATGTGGGTAAAATGGGTGGATTGATGGACACGGTGAGTGAGGGTATGAAATTTTGGTTTATTTATATTACTTTTATTTAATCAAGATGCTGTCGTGTCGCACTGAATTGTTTAAATATAAAGATATTTAATCATTGACAAGTTTTTTGTTATTATACTGGAAACCATCATGTATTCAAGGTAAACAACAAAATGATTCTACTAGTTTAGTTCGATAAATTAGCTTCTTTCATTAAAACTTTTGAAAGTGCTAACTAGCTTAATCTACCAAAATTTAATTACCTAAATTAAAATAAACAAATCTCATATCTAATATATAAGGTCACTGAGGGGAAAATATAAGATAAGATTAATGTGATAGTTTTTTATTTAAAAGACCACGTGGCAGAAAAATGAGTATTAACAATTCTTAAATGATAGGGGAGTGGCATCCGTTTTAGGGCGTAGATGATAGGATGGGTGGGCGGCACCTCATCAATCAAACTATAGAGTATTGGCTAACGAACAAATTAAAAGTCGGCTACCTTATCAACTTTACACACCAACTCCAAACAAATATATATAAAAATAAATTCATTTATTGAAGAGGGTTTGGCATTTAATAACTCAATTTCAAAGGCGATGAGATTAATCAAATTTACCTGGCTTTCATTTGGCATACATTTAACGCATAAAACTTTAAGAACAAAGGAATTAAAGAACTCAACCCAAAAGAAAGCATCTCTGTAACAAAATCACATGAAACATAAGCTGTTGAAAAACAAAACCAAAACACAAATGTTTCAGGCTTGTCTTCCCATACACCATCTTTTTTTCTTCTGTTTCACGACATAATTTTCAAGTAAAAATCTACATATTTATAAGAAAGTCACACACGTAATTGAAAATGGAATGTCGAAAGCCATAAATCACATTCAAAAACATATACAAAAGTTAAACTATATACATATGATCATGACTTACGTTTGTTTGATCTTCGTTTTTTCACGGCATCCGGTTTCCCAAAAACCCCACAAAAACCACAACCGGAGACCTTGGGAGAAGGAGGTTCAATGCTAGGCGAAGCTGCTTTTGTCGTGCGGTACATACGTCCATCGCTACCTCCGTCTGATCGGCTTCGTCTCATCATACCATCCGATGAAGCTCGGCTTTCTTTATTTTCTCGGTTGTTAGCCCTCATTTGGTTCAAATCCCCCGATAAAACCTTGTCGTCCCATACCAGACCCGACGACCCTTGTCTCCTAAACGACGTTGTAGACCTCTGCAAACCATCCATCTCTACTTCTTCAAAATCTTCTTCCTTCTTTCTTTTTTTATGTTCTGGAATTTTGGGGGCAGTTATTAATAGGTTTTTATTGGTGCAAGGTGGAGGACGTCGAGTCCAAAGATACGTGGTGAAGTACGACTTTTTCAATGTGGTGTTACAAGTATATGAGGTAGTGGGGAGAGGAAGAAAGCGACAAGTATGGAATATTGATGAGCAAAATAAATAAATAAATAAATAATGGGATTTTATAACTTTTTAACTTAATTACGTCCCTCAAAAATTGGCAAACTTTTAGAGCACCGAATCAAAGGTTTGGACCGAAAAAGTGATTATAGTCCATGGTCTACCATTTGAAACACCGTAGCTGACGGCTTTAAAATAATAATTAAGATTTTTATTATTATTATATCTCGAGACGTTTATCAAAACTCTGATTCCAGTTTGTGTTTTCGTGTAATGAATGAGTTATCAAATGTCTGATTTAAGGCGGTAAACGTTTGAATATTTCAAAGTAATTAAAGATAATAATATCAAGGTTTGGTCTAAGATGCCACAGTTTCTCAAATCACAATTTTCGTTAACTATTGACTAACAACAACACAATTAATTTATTTGAATGTTTTAATAAAAAAATGTGTTTTGATCATTTAAAAGTAAAGGTTAAGCTCATGTCACAGACAAAAATCACATGCAAAAACTAGTTGATGTTTAGTAATTTGTTATAGTTCAAGAGAATTAGAGAAAGTTTGAGAATGAGGAAATAGAGAAGAAAGGATTTTAGGAAATGAGAAAACGATTCATTCATAATATGAGGAATCAATCCTTACAGCCAGTCTTATTTTGTTACAAGGCTAGAAATGTAAATAGCAAATAATGCCAGCTGGCGTTACAGTTATAACAAACCGATTCTATCTTCCTCTTTCAGGTTACTGGCCACCATTCTTGGGCTGCTTCAACTCTGCTTGGGTCTGGAACTCCACTAAATCCAATGCCTCCTGAACCGATTCAGCTGCACGCATCATTTGAAAGGGTAAATGCATTCTTTCCTCTTCTTTAATTGCAATCCCTAATTTCCCTTCTCCCATTCTTTCTCTCGCTTCGATTCCCAATTCACCATCCTCAATCCCTAACCCTAGGCCTCCTCTTTCCCCAATTCCTTCGTTCTCTTCGCCCTCCTCGATCTCTTCCCTCTCATCTCCACCAACTGTAACAATATCCGCCGCTGGAATTGATCCTTGTCCCCAAGGATCAAACTCTGGAAACTGTCTTCGAAGAACAGTATAGTCCTCCCACGAATCACTGGTTTCATCAAGGTTTCTCCATTGTACCAGCAACTGAGATACAGGTTTGTTATGTCTATTTATTATTCTTCTACCCATAACCTTATATGGCTCAACGCGAATCTGACCATCATCATCCATTGCAGGAGGTTCCGTAGAAGAAATAACCGAGTCACCCACATGTTTCTTGAGGAGACTGACATGAAAAACTGGATGCAGTCTAGAAGAATCGAGTAAGTCCAGTTTATATGCAACTTCACCAATTTTCTCAATAATTTTATAAGGACCATAATACTTTGCTGCCAATTTTAAATTTTTTCTCAGGGCCAGTGAAGTTTGGCGATAGGGTTGCAACTTCAAGTAAACACTATCCCCTACTACAAATATCCTCTCTGTCCTCTTTTTATCTGATTGCTGTTTCATTCTGCTGCTGGCCTATTCTAACTGCCACTTTACCAACTGTCTAATACTATCTCTGCTAGTCATTAACTCATTAACAAATTGTACTGTAGTTTTTGTCTTCCAAACCATAGTAGGAGGTTTATAAACATATAAAGCTTGAAATGGTGTCATCTTTAGGGCAGAGTGATAGGTAGTGTTATACGACCATTCTGCATGTGGCAACCATTTAGCCCACTGCTTTGGTTGAAAAAAACATAGGCCCCTCAAATATTATTCTAAACACTGATTCACCCTTTATGTTTGACCATCAGTCTCTGGATGGTAAGCAGTGCTAAACAATGTCTTAGTCCTAACTGCTTCATCAGTTCTCTCCAGAAGAGACTAGTGAATGTTTTGTCCCTGTCAGAATTGGCCATTTTAGGCTGGCCATGAAGTTTATAAACATATCCAAATATAATTTGGCTACATCAGCATCAGAATAGGGATGTGACAATGCTAGAAAATGACTGTATTTTGTAAATTTGTCAACAACCACCAAAATACAATTTTTCCTCAAAGATGTAGGTAGTCCCTCAATAAAATCCATAGTAATGACCTCCCAAGCTTGGTGAGGAATAGGAATTGGTTGTAAAAGTCCTGGTTTAGCAATATGCTCCACCTTTGTTTGTTGACACACTGTACAAGCCTTAATATAAACTGTTACCATAGCTTTCAATCTAGGCCAGTAAAAATAAGCCTTAATTCTCTGATAAGTGGCCTGTATACCATAATGACCCCCATGGGGTGAACATGTAAGATTTGAATAATCTGCAACCTTAGAGTTCCATTAGCACCAATATAAACTCTATTTTGGAATCTAAGGATGCCCTTAGAATATTTCCACCTAGTATCAACACTAGGAGCAACTGTTAAAATAGATATCCATTCAACAGTCATTTTATCCTCTTTATAAATCTCTTCCACCTCTTGCACCCAACTTGGAATGATCAAAGTAGTACTCAAAGATAAGCATTGACCTTGATCTTCCCATTGTCTAGAAAGGGCATCAGCAACTACATTTGACTTTCCCTTCCTGTACTGAATAGTGTAATCCAATCCCAGCAGTTTAGTCAAGCCCTTCTTTTGAATAACAGTAGTTAATATCTGCTCCAATAAATACTTAAGAGGTTCATGGTCTGTTTTAATAACAAAAGGATTGCCTTCTAAATAATGTCTCCATTTAGAAGCGGCCATTAAAATAGCAAGGTACTCCCTTTCATATATAGAAAGAGCAACATGTCTAGGACTAAGTGCCATGCTAAGGTAAGCAATAGGCCTTCCCTCCTGAGATAATATAGCCCCTATTCCCCCTGAACTTGCATCTGTCTCCAAATAAAAACATTTACCAAAGTCTGGTAATGCTAAAATAGGTGCCTCACACATAGCAGACTTTAATTTCCCAAAAGCCAATAAAGCCACCTCAGTCCACTTAAAACTGTCCTTCTTGAGCAATTGTGTCAAGGGTTTACTGATTGTACCATAACTCTTTATAAATCGTCTGTAATAGCTGTTAATCCCAAAATCCACGCAAATATTTTAGAGATTTTGGCACAGGCCAATCCTTCATAGCTGTAACTTTAGAAGGGTCAGTAGATACTCCAGAAGCTGATATAATATGGCCCAAGTATTCCACTTGAGTCTGCCCAAAGAAGCATTTGGACCTCTTGGCAAATAATTGATTAGTTTTCAAAATTTCCAAAACTAATTGAAGATGAACAACATGATCTGCCATAGAGGTACTGTAAACTAGGATATCATCAAAAAAAACCAAGACAAATTTTCTAAGAAATGAACTAAATAATTCATTCATTAGAGCTTGGAATGTAGCAGAGGCATTAGTAAGCCCAAAGGGCATTACCTTAAATTCATAGTGGCCTTGATGAGTTCTGAATGTTGTCTTGTAGATATCCTCATGTTTAATTCTGATTTGCCAATAACCAGACCTCAAATCAATTTTGGAAAAATATACTGCTCCATGTAACTCATCCAATAGATCATCCACCACAGGAATTGGGAATTTATCTTTCACTGTCATATTGTTTAACTTCCTGTAGTTACACAAAACCTCCAAGTACCATCCTTCTTTTTTTATTAAAAGACATGGAGAAGCAAATGGACTTTTGCTTGGCTGAATAATAGAGGATGATAGCATATTAGTAATCTTCTTTTCCACTTCAACTTTCTGATTATGTGGAAATCTATAAGGTCTTAAATTGATATGAGCAGCTTCAGGCTTAAAGGTAATAGCATGATCATGATTCCTTGTAGGTGGCAGACCTGTAGGCTCAGTAAAAAACAGTGATATTGGTCCAAGAGAGATTGAATAGCTGTAGGAACAGACTTGGATCCTTCAAATATAGTAAATAGGACTACATGTCCCAAAATAGATGAGTCAGAAGCTGTCATCTTCAATAGAGTAGCTCCTGAAATCTGCTGCAGAGAATTAGATTGTTGCTGACCTTGTATAATAATTTGCTCCCCTTTATGCACAAAACTCAATGTCATATTATTGAAGTCCATCAAAATTGGACTGAACAATTTCATCCAATCCACACCTAGTACCATATCACTGCCCCCCAACTGAAGTAGTCTAAAGTCATGTATAAAAGAGTGCCCTTGCATCTTCCATTCCACCTCATTACACCTTGCTGAACTGTAGAGTTGCTGTCCATTAGCTACTGTAATAGTTAAAGGATAGGGAGTATTAACCTGTTTACCAGTATCAGCCCACTGAGGTGTTAAAAAACTGTGGGTGCTACCATTGTCAATCAATATACTCAGTGGTCTCCCTTGGATTGTTCCTTGTATCCTCAATGTATTATGTCCAATACATCCATTAATAGCATTCATTGATATTTCTAAGCTATCTTCTTCTTGCATACTTGTTTGCTCAAAATCTGCTTGTGAATTTTCTGAAGGTAAAACAGTATCATCCTCCATCATCATGTTTAGCTGCTTCACTTTACATTGATGACCTGGAAGGAATTTTTCTCCACATTTAAAACAGAGGTTATTATGCCTTCTGTGCTCAATAAGATTCTGCTTAGATTTTTGCACTGCTGTAGGTCTTGTATTTACTGGCAATGAAACTGATTTAGAAACAGTAATGGGGTTTGGGTAGGGTGGGAATTTAAAAGAAGTCCTCAACCTTTTGTTCTCAAACTCCACAGACAATTCATAGAGCTTAGCTTGCTTACATGCTTTAAACAAATTCTTAGGATCCAAGGCTTTGACCCTATGCTTAATATCATCCCTGAGTCCACTAATAAAGAGTGACACAAAAAACTCCTCAGTTAAAGTAGGATTATGCAGCAACATATGGGGTTGTAACTCCTCAAATTTCTCTTGATATTCGTCCACAGACCCTTTCTGAGTCAATTTAGTGAATTCCTCAACAATATCAAAAAAAAATTTGTCACTGAATCAGTGACAGAGATCAGCCTCAAATTCATGCCAGGTAACATGGTGCTT